GTTACGTACGTACGTACGTACGTACGTACGTCGTACGTACGTACGTACGTACGTACGTACGTCGTCTACTCTCTCTCTCTCTCTCTCTCTCTCTCTTTCTCTTTCTCTCTTTCTTTCTTTCTTTCTTTCTACCTACCTACCTACCTACCTACCTACCATGTTACTTTTATAAAAATGGGATCCAGTGTACAAGATCTCGAAGTAGCAAAAATGAACATGTTCATTTACTTGTCCTGAAGGTCGTCTTTCTGTAGTATACAATAACAAAAAGCAAAAGCATATAAACTTGAAATTTTGCGTAGTAATCAAAATTTTAGTATTCTATCTTACTTAGGAATGATCTAGCAAGCCAATGATTATCTGTTAATTAATTCAGTTTAATATTAGTCTAAGGTTTTCAATTGCCTTAAAGTTCTTTGAAGTTATCTGTAAACTGGTATACTATATAAAGCATAATTACTGTTAAAATAAAAAATTTGTCAGAATAATCATTCAGTTTGAATACAGTTTTACATTTTCATAATCTGAAACATGGTGTATGAGTAATATTGGCTTATTTGATCAGTAAGCCTATATACATTTTACAAAGTTACTCTAATGGAATCAAAATGTATGCTTATACTTAACTGATAAAAGAAGCAAAAGATAAACATATTTTATTAACTAGTTTTGTTCGCCATTTACCTTAATTTTATGAACTTGGCTCTTAAAACCTTTCTGAGTTAATTTCTATAAGAATAATTATAAAAAGTATAACACATTTAAAATATTAGAATATCAGTTTCGTTGTTTTCTTGGAATTTTGGTAATGTTCAGTTTATATAAATAGTGCATTTTATCTCTATAAGCCAGTCAGAACGGAGCTGCTTTTAGAGATGTATAATCCAATTTATTAATACCCTTTCTGAGTAGGAAAGCATTATGTACTCACAATGAGAGGTAAAGACCTTTTTAAATTAATAGACATATAGCCTTATAGACACTGAGAGAGCTTATCTTTTCTAATACTACAATTTTACCCTGGCTGCAGAGTCAATTCAGAAACCCGAACCTTGATCTTTCCAGACACCAAAGAGCTATTCTCCTTCCTAGTTGGCATGAAATTCTTAATTGATTTGAGCTCAAGATAGGTAAACAAGAGAGCTAAATGAACAAATAACTAATGAAACAGATTCTCCTTTTTCTCTCACCCAACACAGAGTAGATATGTGTATACCGTTAATTTATTTACAGATCACTGAATGGCAGTCCATAAAATCAAATTCTCTATCATTATTGTCACCAATGGGGAATAACTTATTTACCGCAAATAAACTGAAACGAAAACAAAACAAAATTTACAAAGTGGAAAGTTAAAGTAGGAAGCAAAATTAGCAAAGTTCTATTGCTCTTAATTCACTTCTGGGAGACAAGAAAAAAATATACCCATGAGGTGTGCTGTTCTGGCAAAGAAATTACCTAGCTCTGTCAGGTGAATCTACTGAGTATCTTGGTGCAATTTCCAAAACTATTAAGGAATAAGCTTTAGAAGAGAATTAAATCATAACCCCCATTTCGTTATAAAATGAACACATATTGAAGATTTAATTTATCTTATTATTAATGAGGGAGTCAGAGGTATGTTATAGCTGGTTCAAAGGAGAATGTAAGTAAAGAATAGGTACATTTACTGATCGGGAATATTGAAGTGAATTTGCAAATGGATGCAAAACTGACTTTTTCCGCCATGGTGGAAGCCAACTGAAATGGGCAGAATTGATTTGTATTGTCTGTAGACAAGAATTGTTTGCTTTCCCATTAGTTTTCTACATGTTAACCTCCATCTTTACAGAATTGTAAAATAGCCCAATGACAATTCCTGTAGGTTTTAATTATCTCTAGAGGCTGCAGCATTTCATTGGAAGGATCTTTTTTGTTTATTTTAAAGTCTTAACATTTTCTTTACAAAGTAAATTTTTTTCAGTCTGTATTCCTGTAGAATTATTTCTTTATCCTTGATATTTTATTAGTTTAATTTGGATATGTATTTGGACCTATGGTTTAGTGTATTTTTCTTTCCCTTCTGTAGATTTTTTTTTCCACCTTTCTTTTAGGGATATTTTCTATTACGTCTGCCTGCTTTTTCTCTTCTATTTGCTTAGTTATTCTGCTTCAGGAATACTAATTATCTTTCAGTCTCTGTCCTACATATTTTATCTAATTGCCTTGGTATCGTTGTCCTTTTTTCTCCTCAATACTTAGGTTGTCTTAGATTTTCCCCTTTGCCATTTATTTGTTTTCAGTCTTTGGTTCTTTTTCTTGCTTTTTTTCAGATTCATTGTTCTTCCTGATTGATTCCCTTAGCTCCATAACTTTTCTTTTCGATGTACCTGTTTTGTCTTTTAATCTTTGAGCTTTTGATTTTAAATGTATGTTTTTACTAGGTTGTTCTGTTACAGAGAATTCACTGGGGATTCCCTTATTTTCTTGTGTTATGTTTTCTTTCAGATGAGGTTCTTCTGTGTGCTGTAGTCATTATTTGTCTCTCTCCTTTCACCCTCTTGACTTGGATGGCGAAGTCAAGACTCTGTATCTCCCCTAACGTGGATGAATTCTCCTTGACACCTTTCCCAGCTTAGCCGTGACTTTGTCTCCTCCTTTGACTGCACCCCCCCAATACACACTTTGGGCGGATTGTGTTATTCTCTGTCTGCGTCTCTGCAGTTGAAGGGTATAAGGTGGCATTGGCAGGAGAGCTCTCCTGGGGCCCCAGGCTCTCCCGTCTCCTTAGATTTTGTTAAGTGTCCTGTACTGGCCCTGTTCCATCCTGCGGAGGGTGTAGGTCATTTCTAGAGGTTTCAGTCCCTTCCCTCAACTCAGAAGAGTACCTTGGAAGTCGACAGACTCTGGTAGCCACACTGCCTCAGCTGACGTTTCAGAGCTTCTGTGCTAAAGGTATTCTGGGCTTTTCTAGGGCATGCCTTGTTGGGTATTTCTTTCCAAACTGGAAAGTATTTATTAAAATTTTCACGTTTTATTAACTCACCAAATTTTTATCATTACTGCTTCTAGGTAGTATAATCAGACTAGGAGCCAGACCACACTGTACAGAATCTTTTTCTGGCCACTACTTTGTAAAATTTAGAGGTTCTTAGTTTAAGCATCTTCTTGTTTGATGGAAAAATTTTTAGGCTGAAAAATTACACACTCACACACACAAGTGTGTGTATATTCTGTCCTTTTTTATAGTTATTGGGGTAGGAAGTTCTGTAATTCTGTTTCACTCCACTGTCTTTACTTGAAAGTCTGTATGGTTTTCTGAATGTTTACTTCAGACATAATTAATGATGTATGTATTCTAGAAAGCCTCTAATTCTTAAGGTCAGGGACAACTTGAAATCGATTTTTTTAAATTAAAAAAACAAAACCAACAAATTAAAGACCATGTTTTAAGATCTATATATATGTATCTAAAAAAATCAACGACCCCAAGGCATGCATTTTTCTTTTATTTGAATTTTGCTCTTGTGTGTGGTCTTACAAAATTTTTGTATAACTGCAGTGAGCGTGTAGTGACCGTATTATATTCCTGTTAATATTAGGACATTTTAATGTTTTTATCTCATCTTTGTAATCTCATCATGTGATATAATTTATTAAGTAATTACTCAAACAGAAGACATTGGTTTCTAGTTTTATGCTCTCGTTTGTTCATTGAATCTTTTTGTGTTTGTTGTTTTTTATTGTCTCTAAAATAAAATTGAGAGGTTAGATTAATGGACTAATCAATGTTTATTAACTCACTGTACTTCTTACCCTGGCACTAACTGTAGTGCATGTTTATATTGCTGGATAGAAATTCTTTTGAGGTAGTTGCTTAAAATGACAGCTGATAATGTCAGCTCTTAATACCAAAAGACTCTTTTTGGTGCTGTTCTGTTCTTTACCTACATCCTTCTCATAAATTTAAAAATGAAAGTTTTAAAATGTATCCCAGTTTTTATAAGCTCATGTGTGCTTTAAAAACAACAACAACAAATCACAAGTTTTTATTTTTAAAGGAGATAATATTACCCAAAGTGAAAAAATAATTTGGATTGGAAATTGGAAGATGTGCTATAGAAGTTTTTTTAATACAGATTTGGTAGTCTAATTTTATTATTTCTTGATTTTGCTATCATCATTCATAGCCCAAGTTTATAAAAGTGTTTACAAAAATGTTCTTTGTTTTCTTCTAACATAAAGTTGTTAATTCGTGCATTCAGTATTTATTGAGTTCTGTAGGAATCATGAGTAGCTTATGGCCTTTGGTGCATTTAATTATGTAAGAATATGCATTCATACTGTGCAATAATCCATGTAATTATCCTTATTTAGGAATGTTTAATCTACTTTTTTGTCTCCTCAGATTCTGTCAAATTTTAAGAACAAATGCACCTTATAGCTCATGGAAGAAAAAACACAAATCAAGACTTTTTTGGGTTCCAAGTTGCCAAAGTATGGAGCAAAATCTGTGAGAAGTACACTGCAGCCAATGCCAAATGGGAAACCTGTTAATTTATTGGGAACTTCCAAGAGTAGCAACGCCAAAAGTTACATCAAAAGTAATGGCTCTGATTGTTCGTCATCCCATTCATTTAATTGGAGAGCGGCAAATAAATACCAGTTCAGTGCGCAAAGTCCCGAAGAGCCTAGCAGTACTCAGAGTTCACATGATAGCGTAACTGATCCTGAAAAACATGCACCTGCTCAAGGAATGTTTGATAGAAATGGGATAAAAGGAGGTCTGAAAAGTATTTCTTTACTTACATCAAAGTTAGTAAAGCCACCCACTATGTTTGTGTCATCTACAGAGGAGTTAAACCAAAAGTCTTTGTCTGGACCATCTAATTTGGGTAAATTCACCAAAGGCACATTATTAGGAAGGACTTCATATGCTTCGGTCAGTGCTCCAAAGTCACAGTTGAATGGCTTTTATGGAAACCGGTCAGCTGGTAGCATCCAAAGGCCTAGAGCAAACTCCTGTGCCACCCGCAACAGTTCTGGAGAAAGCTTAGCACAATCCCTAGACAATATTAAATCTCTTGCTTGTGAAAAAATGGTAAGGTCACAAAGTTTTTCACATTCCATTCAGAATTCATTCCTTCCACCTTCATCTATAACCAGATCACATTCCTTCAATAGAGCTGCAGATCTTACAAAGCCTTATCAGAGCCAACAATTACCCATTAGAGTGCCTCTGAGGTCAAGTATGCTAACCAGAAATTCCCGGCCGTCAGAAGTACTCAATGGGAACGAACATTTAGGGTATGGGTTTAACAGGCCTTATGCTGCTGGTGGAAAGAAGCTGGCTTTACCGAATGGTCCGGGTGTGACTTCCACTTTGGGTTATAGGATGATTCATCCCTCTCTACTGAAATCAAGCCGACCTCCATTTTCTGGGACTATCACAGTTGATGGCAATAAAAATTCACCTGCTGGCGCGTGTATAGAGGAAGATGCTGCCCTTGTGGCTAAAGACAGAGCTACTGAAAAAAACCAAGAACGAATTGAAAATGCTAATTATAGAACAGAAAATGACCAGACCATGAAGCACGATGCTAAAATTAGATACCTGAGTGATGATGTGGATGACATTTCCTTGTCTTCTCTGTCATCTTCTGATAAAAATGATTTAAGTGAAGACTTTAGTGATGATTTTATAGACATAGAAGACTCCAACAGAACTAGAATAACTCCAGAAGAAATTTCTCTCAAAGAAGAAAAGCATGAAACTGTACCACCAAAGGATATACTTGATACCCCCAAGGAAAATGAAAAATCCTTCAGTAAAACTGATGAATGGATTGATATAAGTGTCTCTGGTAAATATTAATGTCCTTAATTTTTTTTTTTTTTGCTCTCCTCCTAGATAATATAACTGAATTTACACTTAGGATTCTCTTTTGATTGATTCCAAGATACTAACATCCCCCTGGAGGGATGGATCTAGATAAAATTGGAATGGGGCAATGTTTGCCTTCCTTGTGACTTTCGTTCCTGTTTTTCACTCTAAAACAATATCTATAAAAACAGCCTTCCCTAAAGTATCTTACTTTTGTTCTTCTTTGACTATCATACACATCCTACCTGCTTCAAAATTGTTTTTTTCTGCTTCCTCCAGTCAATAGCAAGCCATTTTAAAGCATCTCCTCCCTTCACTGCTATTTGTTCAGAATAAAGCTGTACCAAAGGGTAAATGAACTTTTATATCCAATCTAATTAATTTTTTTAATCTTAGGCAATGTTCATTTTATTTGAAGGAAGACATAGATTTTTTGCTTAGCAAACTTACTAGTTATACATTCAGAGGAGCTTTATTTATTTTTTTATTTGAGGAAAGTGATATAACACCTGCTACACATTTCCTCTTATACTTGGTTATCCTGGTGCTAAAGCTGGGAAAAAATGTGTGTGCATATCTAGCCTGAGAAAAGAACAAACTGAGGGATTGACTGTAGGCAAGCAGTCTGGTCAAAGGACTAGGCAGGCCCTCCCCAAAGACATGCATAAACTCTTTACTGTGGGAAAGTCTTCTAGTTAGGAGTGACTGCTGGAGCAAGTAATTTCCTTATAAGGAGGCAGCAGTTAAATGATAATACAGAGTAAGGAGTTTCCTGAGCAGTCCTTAAAAATAAATATCTTAGGAAATATTAAAAACATATGAGGCTTACATTTCTAGAAATATGACAGAAGTGAAAGATGGCTCTGAATTTTCTTTATGTCTATTGGGAAACAGGTTATTTTTAAGATTTTGTGTCTTGACTTTTTTTATCTCGATTTAGAAAATACTAGTTACGTAGGCTTTTTTTGGGCTACTTTTTGCTGTAACATATCAGATTATTAGAGCTTGTATTTTCTGAACCTGAGAAATAATTATATTTTTGTGAATTAATAACCTTTTTTTTTCTGTCTCTCTTAAAAAATCAATTGAAGACAGGAGTGAATGTTCAAAACATACATCTGGGAATAACTTGGTTTCACCAGATACAGATTACAGAGCTGGTTCTTCGTTTGAACTCTCTCCATCTGATAGCTCTGATGGGACGTACATGTGGGATGAAGAGGGCTTGGAGCCCATTGGAAATATCCACCCAGTTGGGAGCTATGAGTCCTCCGAGATGAACAGCATAGTATGTATGGATTTATATACCCTTTTGGAACGTTTTGTTTGCCTTCCTATTGAGAGACTTGGGATATTGATTGGAATTTTTAAGTTTATGAATTAACTCCTAGTTTGAGAAAATGGGAGTTCTTATCTGTTAAGGGCTTATGAAACATTTGGTCTTAATACTGAATAAAGCATATTTTCATATACACATATTTCTAATATAGTTGACCCTTGAACAACATGGGTTTGAACTGCGTGGATCCACTTATGTGAATTTTTTTCAGTAAATAGTGCAGCACTACACGATCCATGGTTGGTTGAATGTGTGGATGCAGAGCTGTGGATACAGAGGGACTGTGGGTGTGGAGGGCTGACTGTAAGTTACACGCAGATTTTCTGCTCTGGGTGGGGTCGGTACTCTAACTCTCTATGTTGTTCAAGGATCAACTGTACATAGATAAATGCACACACGCGCACACACACACACACACACACAGACGCACTGTACCATTCAGATTTAGCTAGGCTAGTGGTTCTCAAAGTAGGGGAAGGCAATGTTTGGAGACATTTTTGGTTGTCACACTGAGGGGTGCTCCTGGCAACTAATAAGTAGACACTGGGGTTGCTACCTGTGTCCTGTAATGCACAAGGCAGCACCTACAACAAAGAATCACGCAGCCCAAGATGTCAGTAGTGCTGCTGTTGAGAAACCCTGGTCGAGGCTGTGCTGACGTCGCATTCTCAGTGCCAGCTCTTAGTGGCTTAACACAATAAAAGCTTATTTTTTACTCTTGAAAAGTCTGTGGTGGAGCTGGACAACTCTCTAGGGCAACAGCCTTCAGCGTTCTAAGCTGCTTTGATGTTGGGGGCTTCACCAACTCCTTTTGAGGCCCCTTGTCACTGGTAGTGAGTGGCGGAGGGTCTCACACCTGCAGTTACTGGCTTTGGCCTGCAGGTGGCATATGGCACTTTTATTCACAACATATTGACCCAAACTGATCTTACGTACGGAATGGGCAGGAAGTGTAATTTTACTGTGTGCCTGGAAGGTGAGGCAACCAGATATGGATGAGACTTGCCACATATTTATACATGCATATATTAAGAAACATTGCAAGTAATGTGGACTATATGCCATATGAGTGAAGTGTGGTCAATGTGATTAAAGTTACTTCCTGTTATTGCTCAGTATATAAAATATGATTTTCCAGTAGTAGTATGGGAAGTTTGGTAGTCTTTGTGTGTATATTAAATTACAGATGGATGTCAGATGATGTAATTTTCTGCACTCATAAACCTGTGACTTGGAAAATACAAATATTGTTACCCAAGACTCGTTAAGTTGCGCAAACATGGAGAGGACACATGCTTAATTCAGAGTCAGCATTTCTGTCTCATTAGATAAAGGAAGTTCATAAAAGACTGCAGTTTAGGGCCTTATATGCTTTCTTCCTAGGACTTTTTAAGTTAATATGATTGAAGTGGAAATGAGCATTGTGTCCAGCAGATGGCAGCAGTAAGCCACTCAGTACCTGATATTTTTCGGGTAGTTCACTGTTCCTGTAACTTAAATGATGAAATAGCTTCTAAAAGATTTCAGGACACACCTGGATTGCCCATTAGTCTCGAAGATACGTGAAGTTCCTCCGTGATCATTTGGCTTGTGTATTTGGAATGGGAAGCAACAAAAGTTCTTTCTGTGCTTTGGAACAAAACAGTGTCTCTGTGTCATTCTGTTCAGAGCTAAGAGGAAAACTGAGAAAGGATGGAGAATTGATGGCAAAAGTTGAAAAGAGTGTGTTGAGATGTACTATGATGATGGATTTACCATTTTTGCTCTGAAGTGCTATCATTTTCTGCTTTTTATATTTTAAGTTAATGTTGTTAGGTATGTAGCTATGCAGAATTGTTTCCTTGGTGAATTGGACTTTTAGTCACTGTTTATCCTCTCTAATCCTCATTAGGCTTTTTGTCTTAAGGCCTCTTTTTTTCAGAATTTTACCAGTTTTATTTATATATTTTCCAACCTGTTACTATCAGCCTTATTGATGTATAACTAATAGACTATTATTTTAAAACAGTACAATCTGTCTTTGTCTTTTTCTTTTAACCAGTGAGTTCAATTCTTTGTTTGCATTTATTGAAATACTTGGATTCACTCTGTCATCTTATATTTTTATTAAAATTGTCTTTTTCTGTTTCTTCTTTCTCTCTCTTTTTTTTCTAAAATAGTTTATCTGACTTAACACCAGAAGAACTTTAGCACATTCTCATTTTTCTTTGTCTCTTCATTGCCTCTCACCAGTCATTTCCTGATCTCATGTCCTCCCCCGACCAGCGCCACCATGGCTGTTCCTTGCAGCAGTGCTCATTCCAGTCCAGGTCCAGATAAGGAGCTTTCACTAGAGTGTTAGTAAACCATGTCTACTGCTGAAACAGTGTAGTTCAAACCCATTATTTAGTTCAGCTGACTTTCTCTTTGAAGAAAGCAGTGTCTTGATATACAGTCTGATACAAGCTCCTTATCTTGTCACAGACCCTAACAAATAGTTTGCATAGCACTTATCTAGAATCAAGACTATTTTTTGTTTTGTTTTGTTTAAATACTATCAGTGGTTTGTTGAGGTATCATTTAAATATAATACAGTGCACAAGTCTTTAGTATACAGCTAGGGAATTTTGAAAATGTTTAACAATCAGCCACATTTAGGATATAGAGTATTTTCATCTCACCCGAATATTTCCTGTGCTCTTTGGTCATTCTCTTACCCAGCCCCAACCCTGCCCCAGGTGCAACTACTGTGCTGATTTCTATCGTTATAGATTAGTTTTGCCTATTCTTGAATCCAATGTAAGTAGAGTTACAGACATGTGCTTTTTATGTCTGGCTTCTTCCAATCAATGTTGTGTGCATATTTATTAGTTGTAGTTTGCTCATTCTTTTTGTTACATAATATTCCATTGTGTGAATATACTACAACTTATTTTATCATACTGTTGGTAGACATTTAGGTTGTGTCTGGTTTTTGGCTATTGCTCCTACTCTGAAGATTTTGCATTATGTTTTTTGGTGAACATTTATGCATTTCTGTTTGTAAAATATGTGGGAGAGGAATCCCTGGATTATAGGTTATACTTATGTCCGTATCTCTAGATGCTTTTAGTTTTCCGAAGTGGTTGTAACCAGTTCACACTCCCACTAGCAGTAAGTGAGCCTTCCAGAAATTCCACTTCCTAGTCTATACCTGGTGTTGTCTGTCTTTTTGTAGTTTTGCTCTTCTGGTGGGGTATAGTAGTATTGCATTGAGATTTTTGTCTTGTGTTTTGTAATAACTGCTTGACTATTTGCCATTAGGATACCCTCTTTTGTGAAGTGCCTTCTGTTGGGCTGTATGTATTTTTTAACTGACTTGTAAAAATCCTTCATATATTTGGATATCAATTTTTCATGTACATACGTATACCCATGTATGTGTATACAGTTTATATATGTGGATTGCTTTTACATCTTGTAACAGTACCTTATGAAGAATAGAAGTTAACAATTTACCATTTTTTCCTTTATTATTAATACTTTTTGAACTGTAAGAATTTTTTGTCTACCCTAAGGTCATGAAGATGTATTCCAATGTTTATTTTTAAAAGCTTTGTTTTTTAACCTTTCATGTTTAGATTTACAAGCTATCTGGGAGTTATTTTTGTGCATGATGTGAGGCAGAGGTCAAGATTAATTTTTTTTCTTTTTGGAAACATCATCTTTTCCCTACTCTACTGCAGGGTTATCTTTGTTATAATTCAGTAACTATATATATATTTTGGCTCACTTTTAGTACATTGGTCTCTTTGTTTATCTTGTGTCAATGCTACACTGCTTAATTATTGTAGTTTTAAAATAAGTATTGACTGCTGGTAGTGTAAATCTTACAACTTTGTTCTTTTCCAGGGTTTCTCTAGTTGGCTTTTTGTAATCTATTTAAATGTTAAAAGGAATTTCTCAATTTCTACAAAGAAGCTGCAGGGATTTTGAATGGGATTGCATTGAATTTATAGATCAATTTGGGGGAGAAATGACATTTACTATAGTGAGTCTTTCACTTTATGAATTAGGTCTGTTCCTCCATTTATTTGGAACTTTGAGAAGTATTTATTGCTAATGTTGTATACTTTTCTGTAAAATTTTATATGTATATGCCTTATTTATAGCTATTTTATTTTGTTGTTATAAATGGTACCACTTTAGAAGTTTTATTTTCTAAGTTTTTGGTTTGTATGTAAGTATACTTGATTTTTGTATTTTGAACCAGTTTTTCAGAAACCTTGGTAAATTCACTTATTTGTTTTAATAATTTGCCTGTGGATGCTTTTGGAATTTCTACATATACTATATAATGATTCCATTTGCAAAGACTCTGTCCCCCATCGCTATCCTTTTTGTTCTGGTTAGGACCTCCAACAAACGTAATGTTGAATTGAAATGGTGATTCAGGAAATGGATGGAGAATGTAGAATTTCAGGAAAGTTTTAATAGTTCACCATTAAAATTTCTGTGTGTGTGTGTGTTGAGGGGCAAGGTTGTAGATTCTTTCATCAGATTAAGGAAGTTCCCCTTTAATTTATTTGCTGAATTTTTGTTGTGAGTGAATGTTAATTTTTACCAAATATTTTCTCTACATCTATTGAAATGGTCAAGTTATTATTAATTTTTCTATTAGTGTGGTAGATTGAATTTCTTGATTTTCAAATATTAAACCACCTTTCCATTTCTGGAACAAATTCATTTGGCATTTGGTTGTGATGTATTGTCCTTTTAAATGCTGTCAATTTGATCTCCTAATAATTTATTTTGGTTTTTTGCATTTATATTCATAAGCATGATTGCTGTATAATTTTCCTCTTTTTTGGGGAGTGGTGGTATTGTCATATTTTGGTATCAGGATTATATTGGCTTTATAAATGAGCTGAAAAATGTTACCTTTTTGAACACTTTGAAAGCGTTTATTTTATATACAGTTGATGTAACTT